CATTTAAGAGTAAGTCTCTGAAGTACTATGGGGATCACTGAAATTCCTGAGACTGAAGGCTTTATATTAATATAAATTAAAAAAAACTGTGCACTTTTATTTCTTGTAGCAATACATGCCAACTGCATCAAAACAAGCAAGCAGAAAGTCTGTCAAACCAGCAACCTGCTGGCCTTATGCAATGCCACATCTTAGCAAACAGTTTTTTTTTCTACTGTACCAAAAGTACTGCTCGTCTCTGGTGATACTACCTCCTTCGCTGGCTTCTCAAGTGGTACCAATGGTTTAGGATATCTGGATGCTACAATGAGTTTTCAAAAGCAAGACAGCAATAAGTCATTATTTAAAATCTTCCAATCGATACTGGAGTATCCACCAGCAAGGAAAGAACCTTTATAAACACTAAGACAAATAGATTTTCTAGGTCTTACACCGATTCCACGTGCAGACTCTCCTCTGCCAAAAACATACAGCAAAATTTCTGTGTTTAAGCAGAGAACTCAGACTAGAACCTGCTTTAAGTTACACGAGCAAGCAGAATTTCAGAATATGGAAGAAAACCAAACCACGACAGCAAAACCAACATGAATTTCAGAAAACAGTACCTCGCTGAATATCGTTCAAAGGTAGACAGTAACAGTGACATCTGACACTTTCAGAGAACAGTTTCAGGATAGTTTTATCACAAGTGACCAAGCACCATTTTTCTTGTTTATGATATTAAACCTCAGCCTCTTCTAATACTTAAGTAATATACACATGTCCCTGTCTCAAAGTACTATCTATATTGGCACAAACAGAATAAGCCTCACAAAGACAGTTTAAAGCAGAAAAAGAGAATTACCAAATTTATTCAAAGTCAAAATTTTATGAAAATTTTTCAATATAGTTAACATTTCCATAAGACACTATGTGTGTATTGAGATGACAAGAGGATGAAAAATTCAACTTCCCCAAGCTACCTAAATTTGCAGTTTTATTGTTACTTAAAAAGGAAGTCCAAATAAATCATACACATCCAGTTGAAATAAAGCTTAAACACGAAGGAACATTGCAATAAAGACATGCAACGTCTGACTAATGAAACACAGTAAGTGGTAGAATGAACAATAGAAATATTTTCTGCTGCCCAAGAATACATTTTGGAGGTGAGGTTTTGTTCACGCATTTTTCGCTTTGGAGTTTTAGGATTTGGTTGGTGGTTTGGGTTTGGCGGGGGCGGGGGGGGGTGCTGGTATTTTTTAACTCCACTTTCACTTTTGAAAGGTTTCTTGGGGAATGGGGCATGCCTCTCAACAGGACTTCAGAAGTATTAAATCTCTTAACTAAGGCACCCCCATGCAGTGTCCAGACCTTCCTACGTACTTTGTCTTTTCTGATAATGGGCATCCATATTCTTAATGTAAGAAAAGAGAATCTAAATAAAATCTAACTAAATTTCATAAGTGAGAATCCAATCTAAAGACAAAAAGGAGATGGAACTCCCACCTCTACCTGTTACTCAACAGAGTAGCTGCAGGGTTCACTTGATCAACCAGCCTTGTCCCCGGTCACAACAGCTACGTAACCACTGTGAGCTGTCAGCAGAGCGAGAACGCAGCTTCTGCGGGCCAGGCTTCGTCCCAGCTCCCTGAAGAGGGCAGAAGGCAGAGCCCTGCTCTTCAGCAGCAAGGCCTGGGAAAGCCACAGCAGATTTATGCATTGAGTATTCCAGATATAGAAGTACATGACAGCTAAGGGGATGAATGCAGCTTATGATTTCTCCCTCTCTTCACCAAGCCTTTCTCCCTCTCTTCACCAAGCCTTTAAGAAAAATAGTGTCAGAATAACTAGAAAGATACACAGCTCCTATTCCTTGCTCCTTTCCCACCCACCCCCTGGCAAAATGGTATCAATTTCAAGTAAACGGCCAGGATTTAATATTGGTGTTAACTAACACCTAGGGTTCAAAGTCTTTTGTAATAGCTTACTTTATCACAGGTAATAAAATACTTGGCATTACATAGATGACCACCATTTGAAACAGAACAGTTCCATCAATAGATTTTAAAGAAAATGATCAGCAGAGTCTGTGTAGCACTCTTCCTCCTGCACCCTGCCTTCACAATAGGGCTCGATGATTTTGGAAACTAAAAAAAGTTTCAGAAGCAAAGAAAGAAGTAGTACATGTTTCCATCTGAAAAGTAATATTCCTTTCATCACTGAGTATTTTTGACTCAGCAGTGAGATTAGCCATAGTCCTGGTGTATGCTGTGATGGTCTAAGAACATAAAGGGGCTACAGGCAGGCAGGCTGGTAAGAGTTTGTCATTTTACCAGCTTGACAGGGCACTTCAAGCTTCTGAATTAGATGCTTGCCAGCAGTCTGCCAGAAGACCTTCTCCTAGAATAGCAATCAAACACTAGAGTTAAAAAAAAAAAAATTTCTTGACCTAGGTCACAGCAATGGAAAGGTAGATGATCTTTCTCCACACACAGCTCAGAGCTCACCTCCGTACATTAGGCCTGTAGAAGAGAGAGGGAGAGAGAACCGTCCCCCCCAGGTGCCATTGTACCTGCCAAAGCCCACCAGCAAGACTCTTCCCTCTTCTCCCAGCTCAGTGGGCTGGGCAGTCCTTGCAAGAAAACTCACACTTGTACTGTGAAATCACTCTTCAAACAAGACAAGTACTTCCAGAAGGATCAAATTATGCTTTGTTATGTTAACAGAGATTTAAGTTCTAACAAGAAGAGGTACTAAAACCTGAGTGGTTCTAAACCACCATGGCAGAGGAACAGGTTTGTTCCTCTTGGCAAGAAGCATCTGACTCATCCAACAAAGCAATCTTTTTCATAGGACATCATGTTTGGAGTGTCTAAAAACCTCAGTGAAATCTGTTTGTCTTTGATGACATTTGCAGTCTCCTGAATTAACTCTTCTTTTTAAAGTTGTGGAAGTAGAGGCACCTAGGCTCAAACACTCCCTAAACTATTCCAGTAAACTGGAGAGTTCATAAATTTAACACCAGATCAGAAACCAGAGATGTTTCTTCTGGCACCAAAGACAAAAATGGCTTAAAGCTCGCAAATTCCCACAAAGAGATCTTGCCCCCGCTGTCAGCCCTATTGAACACATGGAGGTGGTGCCCTTTACCTGCACACTAACTTTTGGTTTTTTTAAACAAACACAAGATGCAGTAACTTGAAATTATGAACATTTTTCTATCAGAATGCACCAGTTTGGTCAGATTATTTATTAAACCATGTATGATATAACATACCAATGCCTTCAAAGAGAATCTAGCTAGAGACTGCATTCCCTAAAACCTGCAAATTAAACCAACAAAACTAGCTGTCAAGACTGCATTGCTACCACATTTTTGCATGTTTTCCAGTTAATACGCAACCTCAGCAGGCAGAGAACCAAGCAATTAAACTCCAGAAGGCCTTTTATTTAGTGATCACATCACAAAAAACCTTTCCATTTAAAACATAAAATGCAACTTGGTGCTTTCAAGAAATTGTGTTCAATGTACGTGCATTATATATTTAAAAATATATAATTTATATATACACAAAGATATATTGTGTATATATATTTTATGTATATGTACACAAAGATAGGAAAAAAGGAATTGTTTTCCCAGCTTTGCAATAAAACATAGGAAAGTAATGGCTTCTTTCACTATCAAGACCTGAGATTTCTTAGACGCCCTAGATAGCCATCATGTTAGTATTATTAATGGAAGATGGTTACATATGGGCTCAAGAATATTTTAACCCAGCACAGATAAGAACAACAGTACCCTTAGAAGCAATAAAGAGGCAGCAGACATGCTAAGTTCAGTATTTCTTACCTAAGCAAGTCAAACCCTTTAGTATTTTTCCTCCTTGTTACCAGGCTTGCTGCACTGCTTAGAAGTGCTCTCATGAATCATTTCATATCATGCGTTGAAAACTAAAGGTAGAAAACCTGAATATAAGCCCCTTAAGAAAGAACTTATATCTTCTCTCCAATATCACTCTTTTATAATAGAAAATTGCTGTAGAAGGTCAGAAGTATTAAATCATTCTCCACATTGCCAGTAAGATTTTTACACTTTCATGTCCCCCATACAAGAAAGGAGCAACTGGAAGGAGGATTTGACTGTTGCCAACAAAACTTGATTATGGGGCACCACTTCCACAAACAGGAAAGCAGAACTATTGCATTTTAAATGAACTGGCCTACCTGCTACTTCAGTGTTCCTGTAACTATGAGAAAGAAAAATACAAGATATTTGTATTCAAGTCCACATGCATCATCTCCATATGGTGTGGCTGACGTGCTCACAAGAAACAGAAGCTGTAATTTAAAAACTTTGTTTCAAGCCTCTTCCTAGGAAAATGTGAGACCTTATTCACCTTTCTAAGATTGGAAAAAGGGGGGGGGGGGGGGGGCAGGGGAAGAAAAAGACTTTAAAAAGCCTTTAATGAAGAAGGAAAACTAAATCCAGGTGAGACAGTCTTGCAGCTGTCTTGAAAAAGAGCAACTTAGTGATGTTCTGACTAACTTTTAAGATAGTAAGATACAGATTATAGTCTAAATCAGGACAGTTCTCAAAATATCTTCTGAGAACAATTCCATCCAGATTCAGTTTCACAGCCTTCCCCCCAGCTTCCCCTAGGCAAAAGCTATCTATTAATTTCAACTCGGGCTCCCAGCTTCACAGCCATCCTTTATCACAAGCTCACAGATAAAGGTCTGTCTTCTGACTAATGCACTAAAACAAACAGAAGAATCTCAGTGTTAATTAATAAAGCTAAACTGTTTAAACTGACTGCTAGTGCTCGGCATCTGGAAGCTCTAAGAGTCCAGACAAACATCCAGGTAAGACAGGTGACAAGGTGATGGCAGGAACACATTCACAAACCTCTCCCCACCTACAACTTTTCTGACTACAGCGCAAACAGACGAGTTAAGTTTCAAAAACGCTTCAGAGACTCACCTAACTTACAGGTCAACAGCTACAACTCACCTACCTGAGGACCGTCCTTCAGCGTAGCAGCCGCAGCAAAGGATGGATTTCCCTGCAGCCTCTGCCATTAGCGGAGGCCACCGATAGTGTGTCCTGTCATATTTCGCGCTAGGGCAATTAGTTGATGGAACTGCATCCTTCTGGTGGTAGGCCTGGGAATGGGCTGAGGAACAGGCCCCATTTGGTTCTTGATGTGCCCAGGTCTCCCCATATTGCTGACAGCTTCCCCTAGCTGATATGGGGTCTGTTAGGGCACAGAAGAGGCAGTGAAGGAAGAAGGTCAAAACTTAACCCAATAAGGACTGCATTAAGAAGGGTACGGACTAAGACCTCCCTTTCCATATAGAACTATGAAAAGATCACAGGCACAAAACAAGCTTAAGCACAGTGGCAAAACTGCATAGGCATTTCACGATTGAGGAGAGACTGATTTTCCAGGCTCAAACAGGACACTGGAATTTACTCAGTAGGTAGACGAGTGAATTTGAAGGCTGCATTTGGATCACTTTCATTGGAAATCAACGCAGAAGTAAAACAAGCAACCTCATCTAAAGAATCAGCTACTGGGAGCTACAGCATGCTGCTACTAAAGGAGAAGATCAAGAAGAAACCCAAGATCTCTAAAACCATTTTATCTTGATTGAACTCATCAGTTGTAAAAACCAAAAATGACAGTAGTAGAGCGGAGAAAGTACTTGGAAAGCAGGGCACAAATACCTCTCACCCCCCATCTGCTACTCACAATCACAACCTGTGTACCTAGTTAGATCATTCCTACGCAGCCACCACTTCAACAGCAGGAAAGAGCAAACATACAAATTATCACCTAACCATAATAAAGCACGTTAAGTACAGAATATCAACATCTAGCCCAGAAATCATATCATTTTCTTTCCAGTGCAGCCCTTTTATTCACTTTGTCTTCTTCTGGCACTCCTTGGTGCTGAGTGACAATACACATCTGACACTCCTCAAGAGCCTGGCTCTACACCCACTGCCTTTCTTCGTGTAAAATCTGAATTCTGCCAATATCAACCCTCTACAGAAAACAGCTATGGGCAATCCATCCCACCCAGGGACTCCTGGCATTACCATTCACTTCCTTAGCCCACAGCCGCTCACACAAATGTGCACCAAAGAGGATCCAGTGCTATGGTGGTGCATCTAAAGAAAGCAGAGCACCTATTTTACCAGCGCTGAATGAATTCTGTGCCATGTTTCCTCTCTTGCTCACGTGATTTTACTTCTCTAGAATATCAGGGAATGTACACAAGGTATGCCCTATAGTTTTAAGATTTTTTTTTTTTTTCCTCTAGTAAGTCTGTTGAATAAAAATTAGAAGCCCTTCTTGGTTATTTTTCCCTTTCCACAACACATGAAGAAATACAATTTCTTAGAGTTAAAAGCTGACAGCTGTTATCATGCTGCAGGCTGGTAAAAATAAATAAAAAAAAAAGAGCTGGCTAAAGGGAAAGGTTATTTTTGAAAAAGTCTTATCAAGCTACTAGTTGGGCTGATCAAGAATCTGACTCCAAGGACCACGGTCTGATGGCATTACAACACTTTATGCAGCCCTTATCTGTGAGAATACAAAGGCCATAACTGAGGTTTTGTTGAAATGATCCCTCCAGTGAGATTAATGCTCACAGTTTCAGGCACAAGCAAATTGCAGTTTCCACTAGTGGAATAAATTTGCAGTTTACTAATAAGGTCCCATGCAGTAAAGTCTCTAAACTCAAACTAATGCTTTTGTTACTCTGCCTTCTAAATCCTGAATCATCAGAAAGTCACAGCATTTTATAGAAACAGACTTTCATATTATAGCTAACAGCAACTGAGCAACAAGATATTAAATAGGACCATCTGTTGAATTATCTCTGTATAAACCTTGAGACATTATACTGAAACGCATTTTAAAGTCTCATTTTGATATCGACCGCATGATCCTCCAGGTACACAGAAGCACTGCGAGCAGCCCAGTTTCAGCTGAGCAGTAACTGCTGAGTTAGAAACTCGCACAAAAACCTCATGGCAAGCACCCCTCAGAAGCTGAGAAGTATTTATTTAGGAAGAGTATTAGTTGTTAGTATTCAAAAGTTAGTGTCAACAGCTCAAAGCATACTTCTATATTGGAAAACAAACACAACTGATTCATGCTCTGCTAAACAGCAGCACTGCTTCTAAAATGAACCATTTAAGTGAACTACTCTCGCTCTGATTAGACACACTACTGTTTATATGCAAGTGTGCTATAAACAAAACCAAAGAGGTACCTGAAAGGGTTCTGTCTCTTCATGAAAGCAGCTTTCCCACAGCTGACCCCTGGACCTGTTCTCTGCCCACCACAAGATTTATTCCAGACAAGTACAGAAGAGCCACAAGGGACGGAAATGCCCTTTCCAAGGGCACGCTACTATCAAAGTCACAAAGAGGCCTAGATCAAATGCACACTGATCTCTTGAGTACCTGCTATCAACCTACGTTGCAACAGGGACTGTAAATTACAGCTAAGCATCAGAACCAGAAGTACAGAGGTTGTAATTAAGAGGATTTGGTCTTGTCAGGGTTTGATTTGTTTAAGGAAAAGTGTCAAGTTGGCAAGAACAGCTGGATCAGACGAAAAAATCACCGTGAATTATTTTAATTGGTGTTGCATAGCACTATATTCAGAAATACATCCATAAACCTCCGCAGCACACACACACCTTCCCGCATAAGAACCAACACTTCCAAGAAGCAGTGCCGGTAAGCAGACAGCTGCTCTCTGTGCAGGGAAGCGTAATTCGTGAATGAGCCCCCAGAGTAGCGGCAGCCAGCATCTCTTAAGAGGTCTGAAATCAATTTGCTGCTGCACTAGCGTCAAGAGGATTTTACGAGACACGCTCTTCTACTCCCATTCCGAAAAACGGCCACCCACGCCTCTCCGAAACTCCTCGTGAGACGACAAACACACCGAGGATCTGGCACGGTGGCCCGTTTTAAGTTCTGAAGGTGCTGCGGACGCTTCTGGAAAGTAAATGTCGGGTTGTGCGCCTCACAGCCCATCAGGCTAAAACACACCGGCGTACGCCTCCCGACGCCTTGTCCTGCCGAAGTTTCCCACTCGCTCGGCCGCCCGAAGCAGACGCGTGGGCGAAGGCGGGAGGAACCCGCCGCGGCCAACGCCGAACTTCGGGGGCTCGCTCCCCGCACCGGCCCGGCCGGGCCCTCCCCACCGCCGCC